AGCAGTGCAGGCACCGAACCTGGGAGACAAAAGTAAAGAAATCACATTTGAGACAAATGAATAGAAATGCTTCATGGCCAGCGGAAAAGGGCGGACACCAGCAGTGACAGAAAGGGCGGACACATCTTAAGCAAGAATTGAGAACCCCTAACAGTAATATATTGTATATTCCAAACATATTGCTTGTGCAAACCTCGAAAGGGAACAAAAACCGCCCAACATGTGTTGCAACTCACGTTGCAATTATGTGGGAAAACACACTACAAATGCAACACATACTAAATTAGTTCATGGCAAAGCGAAGGAAGGACATAGATCAAATGTAGGTTCCTGATATGTGGTACTCTCAGTGTGATATCTTTCGTGTCTTTGCGTGGCTCTACATAAGCAAGTCTTCTCAAAGCAAGTCTTGAACGCTGAACTTTCCCAGCCTCTGTGAATTGCTCTGAGTCCATATTGATGCTTTGGGAAGGCTCGTATTCAAGTTGCCAATCTTCAGCAGCGCAAGCTGTTCTTGTTGGAATCTCTGTTGGAGTTTCCAATCTGACGGATCGGAGTCCGGCCTCCGCGCCAATCTTGGCTAGCTCCCTTCGAGATGCCGGGACACGCCCGCTGGCAACCGCACTTGTGATAAAGCTAGAGCCAAATTCCTTTGGGTCCACTCTTATGGAGGAGGCTAAATCTTGTGCCTTTTGGAACGCAGCACTCATCAGTTGCAGAAGACCACCTTTCGATCCCGATTCCTGAATGGGGTGCCCAATCGAGATATTCAAATGAAGTTGACCTGCTTGAGCTTCCACAACTCCCTTGTTGGGATGTGTGCGGGTCACCTGCAAAGTCTCCGCTCCAAGTGCGAGGCAGCCTGGGGATCGAACCAGTGGAAATTCCTTCCCTTCGGATAGCAGCCCTTTCTTCCATGCATCAAGCAAGCCAGTTTCTGAGTATAGCGTGATGTTGGCACTGTTAAACGCACAGTCCACTGAAAGTTTGACTGGAGTAAGCAGCAAATCCGTCTGGACAAAAAGATCGATCTGGCCCTCACTTCTCTTGCAGTCCTACACAAGTTCAGGGTTGTGAGATTGATGCCGCCTAGTCAACTTCCCTACGTGACAACTGCTCAATCTCCCAATTATGGGATTCGGTATTTGCATCTAGTTGCAATACAATGAAGACTCAACATCTCTGGACAGGGCCGATTGCTTCAATCTTGCACTGTCAGTCCTTGATTAAGCCTTGCGACTTGTAGTTGGTTGCATTGACGGATATCCACCGTCCCTTGATTGAGTTGCAAGGCGTCTTGTCCAAGATGGAGCTAGCTTCACGCGGTTGGCTTTTAAACATCGCGATAAGCAAGGAATAGAAATCCATGTTCTTCAATGTTCTTGCCACTTCACCATCGAGTGTCTTCGAGTCAAAAGCAGGATCATTATCTCGGAAATAATCAAGCAACTTTGCTTGCAATTCTTTCACTCCTTTTTTGTCACTCTTAGCATTCAAGTGCCATTCCACATTTCTTGCCTGCTCAGGTGTCAATTTCTGGACTGGTGAAAGATTCCAAAAGACATCGTGCTCTTCACTGATGATTCTCCGCCTTGGATTCACCATGCTTCACCAAATCACACACACACATGTCATCCAACTCATAGGTCACTACTATACAAAATGACAGTATTTAAGATGTTTGCTAGACAAAAGCAACTATGAGAGGAATTCACCACCTGCTGAACCCTTGCTAGCCTTTAGCCTTTCCCACAATGACACTCGGGGACCTGCATGTAGCGTGCTTCAGATTTAATATCATTTAAGGACGCAAACAAGCCATGGTAAGCCGACTGCTAGAGAGCCTCTCTCTGATTCCTAGACTGACCGATGATCTAGACTGCTTTTTAAAGAATGCCCACCTCCGCCCTTGAGAAATACTTGCTTGCTCTTCACAGCCCCGTTCCCATGAGATAAGGCTGAACCAAGGCACGATGGGTCGAGTAAGCTCACACAAAGGGCGAGCGACCATAGCAAGGTAAGGAATTGCGCACTCACGGTGAGCGCCATTGCATCCACTGGATTCCCCTTCGCAAGTGTGTGTGTGTGTGTACCAACTTCTGTGGCTGTTCCAGGTGACTTGAGCAACTGAAGCATTGAAGGGAGGTATATATGTTGAAGAGGCGTCTGGCACAACTGGGTCATCAGCAAACAAAATGCATAGCTTGAATCAAAGTGCTGTTCCTTCAACCTGTTCAATCTGCAGTCTTGTTTTTAACACTTTTCAACATATCGGGGAAACCCAGTGACATCTGTTCTACCCCTGCAATGTTGCAGGTCTCCGTAGAGCAGCTGGACACAGGAGTGGCGCAGTGTTAACACACAACAGCCACAAGCAGTGCCACAACAGGAACACAAGAGGACAACAACCCTGGAGCACGAGCACCTTGCAAATACAAGCTCAAATCATGGTCAAAGATAATCTTCTAGTTTCATCTTTGACCATCACTCATGACTCACGACCATGCTTTTTCTATCTTTTTCTCAAGAATGTCCCGGTGTGAGCAAGACTCTCTGCCGCTGAGCAAGCAGCTCTGGTGGTCCGGAAGGCATCCGCCAGCATCTGCTCATTCCGCCGTTGGGTCGCCCAAACCTCGGCCCACCCGGCGTGCCCCCGATGCACCAAGGATTGTCCAGCTCAAAGGCTCACTGTGAAAACCAGTGTGACGAACACACTGATAGTGGGGATGGACATGAAGGCTTCACTTCGGTGTAAGTGAGTCGGTTACACACACACCAAAGAGAAGTAGTGGAACCTCCCCGGCCATCCAAGAAAGAGGAGAGAAGTGTCTACTGACACAATCTGGGACTACCATTTTTGGGGGCATCTGACTGACTATGAAGGAATCAAGGAATGAAGTTGAAGTTCAAAGTTGTGAGTATATCGAATAGTATCAACATACTTATCAACATGTACACAACTACACTGGTGGAAATGGGACCGATCCAACGCGGCAAATCCAAATTAGTCCACTCTTCTCTACTCTTGTTGGATACTTCCGCTTTCTTTGGAAGCACCATGGAAAAGTAAAACATTGATTTCTGGCCCATCACCCCTGAAGGGTAAAATGCAAGAGCAAAAGTCCGTCAGCCCAAGTTGGAGCTTGCTGAGGGTGCTGCGTTGTTTTCAACGGACTTCACCACGTTCTCACCCACATTGCTAGTGATCACCTTGCTGTCAGGTCCAGCTGGAACTGCTGGAGCACTTTGCAAAACATTTTATATGGCCTCTACATATCTGCACATCTCAGAAAGTGGATGAACATGGTCTCTGCAGAAAGACCAGCTTCCGCAAAGGGAGCCATTGACTTGCATGCGAAAACGCGTGAGACTGATTTTGCAAAGTGATGGGTGTCCATATGCATGTGTCCATCACACCTGAAGTTCTTGCACACTTACCCAATGTACAAGAAATAAGTAAGTAAAAACAACAAAACGCATTGTCCTCTACAAAGAATAATGATTGCTCGGAAGGGTCATTGAGTCCATTTGGTTCATTTAAGTCCTTGCAGTTCTGTAAAGTTCAACATCAGCGCGAAAGAATGCTTAGCAAGGAATAAGGGAATGGATTCTAAGGAATCTCTATTGGAGGTCATTCCCTACAAGTGTTGAAAGTCCGCAAGCTTCCCGGTGCCATTGATTTTGTCAAAAGCTTACTTTAAAGGGAGTAAACAGATTGTCTTCAATCGCGTTCTTTGTGTAATACATTGTAATACATAATCCTCCCTTCGAAACCCTCCTGGAAGGTCCAGGCAAAAAGAATCCACTAAAGACTGAGGTCTTTGCAAAGAAGCGCGCCCTTGGATCCTGACGAAGCGATCTTTCTCACGGACAAGATTCAAGCGTTCAGACAAGAAAAGCCAAAGGCACACCCTTTGGTAACGCACAGCCTTGGTATTTCCTAGTGTGGTATGAACTTTTGAGTTTTAATTTTGACATGCGGGTATCTCAGGGGACCAACAAGGACCGGCTGAGTGAACTGGAACTCGTCTACTTTGGAATCGGCCTTGAGCTCGGGCGTCTCCTTATTGACAAACAAACCTACCTCTTTGGCGGAAAGAGCCGTATGCAGCAGGGTAGGGGAGACAGTAGGATGAACAACGCAGCATGGCGGGATGGTCCTGGTCAAAAAACTATTGTTTAGGGAGGTCCATGTCCATTGGATGTCTGGATGTCTGGATCATTCCTGAAACATCCATCCTTCCAAACAAACACCTGCTGGACTTCTTGAAGATTCTTGCAATTGAGCACAGACTCACCATGCTTCACCAGCCAAGAACCCCTGAATCCCCTCCTGTAGCAGCGGGCTTCGTTTGAAGCCTGCTGGTTCTCGCAGCATGCCCGGCCACTTTCACCACGGCCGTGAATAAATTCTCTCTGCTGTGGTTCGAACTATATTTACTGCTCTATGTCACTCTATGTGGACGCAATTTCTGGGGTCCTTGAGAAGCCTGTCAACCGAAGCTGCTCTCAAAAGTAAAGGTACCGGCCATAGGGCCTGGACAAATGACTTGCTGGTGTAGGTTTTGTAGCATGCTACTTTTGCAGAGTCTGTTTAAACATGTTTAAAGTACTACTGTACGCCAAAGTGCATTGACCAACCATGTGTTTAGTTTACTATATTGTTGAAAACACTTCGCTTGGCTGTGGTGTGTGTGTGTGTGCGCGTGTGGGTAGTGCTTTTGAAGTGTAGGGAAGCCTGGCAAGCCTGAGCTTGCTCTTGCAGCTATGGCGGAGCCAAATCAAGGAACCAAACATAACGAAAATAGATCGTGTCCAGAATTTAGAAATTGGTCCACTCAAAGTTGACTCTTGAAGGCTCTGTTCAAAAAGACAGGACGCTGTTGCGTCGAGCTCTTCACCATGTGCTTTGTGGCAGGCAAATGTAAAAGCACACTATACTATATACTACTATACTATACCCAGTGGATCCAGTTACCATAGCTGGTATTAAATGGTTCCAGTTCCACTCAAACCGACCGGTCTGACGTGTACTCACTGGGATTGAACGTCACCGGAAGGCGATGACGATGCCGGGGGTGTAGTTGGGCCAAACCCGGACCTGACTACCCCAACTAGCCGGGCTTGGGGGCTTGGAGGCTTAGTATGTCCAGCGTCTTGCAAAGCGAGTGTGTTATTATTTGCACATTTATGTGTGCATTTACATAGACAAGCCTGCCGTGGAGCACCGCAATGATGCAAAGTTTCGACTTAATCTATTTAATTGTAAGTCCAAAATGTTCTTCACAAAGACTCTCAGATTCTATCTGCAAAGAATATCCACTCAACGAACGCCCAGCTCAATCATGTCCAGCTCACCTGCCACGCCCAGCTCACCCGGAAGATGAACACCTGCCGCCTCCAAGTCTACAGTCTACAGTCAGAGTCTTTTCGGTGGCGCCCATGGTTCCGTCCACCCAGACACATCCGATCTTTCCTCGCAACCCCGGCGGAGTGAGGTGGCGTCCCACCGCAGTAAGCGAACGCCCGCCGCGGGCGGAGGTTCGAACTCGCTCATTGGGGATCAAACTCGCTCTTCTCACCTCAGCGGAGCATCCTACCTGGGTCCGTGATGGGAATCCAATGCATTGGCCAAAACCTCTCCGAATCTAAGAAAGTCAGAAACGCCCAAGACCGACCCAAAAAAACTCCAAAGACCTGCAGATTTGAAACGAGCTCTACGCTGATCGCGGTCTGATTTCCAACTATACTCTCTTTTGCACATGGAACAGCTGTCCAGCTCGGCGGCCCAGCCCTGCTCAATTGTTCGGAGCTCCATTGCGCCCCAAAGCATCCTGGCCTCCTGCGGCGTGCAAAGCGGCCGCGGTGTCGCGAGAACAGGTGTGCTCGTTCGGATGAATCGTTGAAGCCGCTTTGTTGGCACAGCAGAAAGCAGCGAAGAATCGTGGAAATGGACAGTTAGCTTAGTAAGGGTGCTTGGCATGAGCTTCTACGGTCTAACGGAAGTATTGGCGCCGTAGGGATTGTACAAACCTGAAACACTTCTAGGCCGCTCGAAGATTATCTTCCACAAACCACTTTTCAGCCCACAATCGCCTGATCAAACCTCTTCCTTGGCCTTGAAAGGTGATGGAATCGAAATTGGTGTGGGACCAGCTTCGTATGAGGTCCCGGCAACGCATATACTGCGAAATGAAGATGAATGAACATGAACAATACTGTGTCCAAAACATACGTACAGTAAGCACAGGTTGGAGTCGTAGAGTTTGGGGAGGTGATGTTCCATGAACTTATATATTTGATGTTCAATGATTTTCCTCTATCCAGTGGGTTACTAGCAACGTTTTTAGATTTTTGAGGCAGAAGTCATGCTGTTGAAATCCACCGTAGTTTGCTTGACTTTACTATATTCTACCTTCAGCATGATGCCATGCCTTGATTCAGTATCTCTGTACCTCTCTGTACCTCGAACCACACCTTGAACCACACACATGTCACCCCCATTTCGCCCGGTGGCTGGTGCCCCTCCTGGCCGATCATGTCTGGGTGATAGGAAAACTTGTGGTCTGCGACGATGATGACCTCCACAGACGATACACGGCTTCGAGACGTGTCCTCCACGGCCGAAGCGGAAGAGGCACATTCGTGTTGTCTGGATCGCGTTGTCTGGATAGCATTGGAAGGGTTCTTTCCAAGGATCTGAAGTTCAAGGATAGGCTCTGGCACCGCTGGCAGGAATGTGTCATTTTAATGCAACGCTTCGGGCATAGGGCCATGGGGCCATGCATTGCCAAAAGATGCCATGCAGCGGTCCAAGGAGAAGGCAGCGAGCTCCAAACAAATGGACTGGTGAGGTCATTGAGGTCCGTTCAGGCATGGAGGGGGTCGATAACAGCTACCCTTTCATATCATCTATAGTGGCATGTTCACATCCTTTCACGACCAGGGCGCATCCCCTCTATAGATTCACCAACCAGCAAAGACGGTCGAAGAACAGAGTCAGCTCCCTCTATCTCCATGGACGAAGAAGGTCATCGCCAACGCCCAAGCCCATCAAAGCCCTTGTCCCCCAAATCACCCGAACCAGAGGCTTTTCGGGCCTCACCCTCCTTCAGCCCTGCTGCTTTCATGGCTTCTCGCATACCGGTCGCCTGCATACCGGTCGACTGCATCCAGCCGCTGTGTCTTCGTTTTCTGGACTGCTTCGTCCAGGTCTCGGTCAGAAAATGACAAATCCTTTTGGGCATAAAAAACTTCACATCGAAACTGCTGAGCTGCAAGATCTACTATGATCTACTCAGTTTCAAGGGACATAGAAGGACATAGAAGGACCAGATCAAAAAATCTCTAGACCCAGTCGTATCCGAGCGGTGGCTGCTTGTTCTTGTGCCCACTGGTGGTATGATGCACATGAGATCACAAGCAACATGGAACATGGCGGCCAAGGCAGCCAAGCGTTAAGCTTGATGTCTGCATCCCACGAATTGACACATATGACATAATATTACGGCCTATATACATACCCTGCGGTAGACTGCACACGCTAAACACATGAGGTTGAGGCCTGTCAAGCCAAACCAATGTTCAAAACACCAGACATTGCCCAAAAGAACTAGTTGGTATCAAGTATACGTAGAGGTCAATTCATCTTGTTCGCATTGCAAGTAGGACTCCTCCTCCTCTTGCCATCTTGTGCCACCAACAAGTTTTCTCATTAACCGGAGGTGGTCTCAAATTCAGCCTTGGGTCACACTCTAGGAGCGAGCCTGAACCTTGGATTTGTCCAGGAACCGGGACAAAAAACCACCTGTTTGGGTTTGTGTCGACCGGGATTCCAGTTCCGGACAAACCTCGGCCCATCCGCAAGACCCAGTGATAAATCGACATCCCCCCATGTCCACCAACCCAAGTGGATCTTTCCGGCGGAACCGCGAACCGACGACGACCGGGGGGATCGGCGCCTTCAAGACACGGTTGAGGCGGTCGTAGCCGGCATCGCGCCCGGGGACGCCCTCGTAGCTCCAGTCCGTGCGGCGAGCAATCTGACGAGACAGAAAGGACATGAGATGCAAGGTACAAATGGCCAAGTATATGCTATACCCTGCATCCAAACAAGCATGGAAGTGAAACATGGGCCTGGGGATCTAAATTTGCGAACACCTCGCAATCTTGGCTGGCAGTGTTGACTTCACCCTGCCTCTTCCACTTCGGGATGATACAAACGCCATGCCTCACACAAAAGCATCAAGCTTCTGGCTAATATCCAGCCCCACCTACAGGATCAGGAGCCAGGTCTTCAACCCTAGCCACTCTATAAATAGTATCCATGCACAAATCTACTTCAGCCCAGTAGTTGTTGCATATTGCATGAAAAAGGGCAGCGAGAAAAGCAACAAAACTCCATGGATTGGGCCACTCAATCCATCTTCGCGCCTCCTCAATCACATCCCACTCAACTCTGGCCTTTCGCGCACAAAAAATCTTAACATGCCACAAGAAGCTTGGAAGAATACTAGCAGTAATACTAGCTGGTCGATTTGGCAATCGGTGTGGGATGGTTTGGGATGTTATGGGCCACTCGGTGTCTAGCAAGCCACCTTAATAAACCGCATATAACAGCGTCACTTAAGGTCAGCACTCACCAACTACGGGTCTTCTTCCAAGCCAGGTTCTTCTTCCGCAGGTGTCGGGAGGGTACTGTGTGGTCTGCTAGTCTTCTCATCTGAAGGCCAAAGACTGAAGACTTTAGTTCAAAACTGAAGAGAATATGATGGCGGGTTCTTCCGTCGCTTAGAACTGGATACACATCATATACAGTAAGCAGGTCTGAGGTCCCAAGTCAGTCCTTGCAGGAATTATGTGGAAGGCTTGACTGAACTTGAGAAGACCTGAGAAGTTATATATCGTGTTCTGCAAATAAAATCTGGAGAGTCCATACTGTAGCCCTCCTTTAGGAATGACATGTCGTTCTTTGATGAGAGACACCCCAAATGAGGAAGCTGAAGCTTGCGACATTCCAACTAAACTGCTATGTGCCACAGCATCCAAACTCTCATAACCTGTCTTAGGATCTTAGAGTTGGTCAGTGGGTAAGCACGGGAGCACTCCCCAATAAAGAATAAAGACAAAGCTCTCCATCAACTGTTGAGATCATCCAATGCCGGAGATTGGATCGCATGCTCCCAAAACAAACCGCCCCTTTCTGGAGCAGCCGGGAGCAGCCCATCTGGACGCCCACCCGCTACCTACCGCCCATCCTCGTCCCAAGGGTCCCAGACGCGTCATCCGATGGGACTGTCATACCGATCAGGCCAAGGGTGAGGCGCCATCCCTGGGATCAATGTAAAAAAATCCAGTCCCATGGAGTGGGGAAGCCGC